CTTTGGGGGGGAATAAGTGACTTGGTTATATCTTGTAATGTTTTTCTGCAGCATCTGTTACAGTCACTTGCATTCTGCTGGTGCTTAATAAGTGTGAAATGGCTCACTGACCCAACTCCTTTTCCAATTAAGCACTTATGGACTCATGTGGCCAGTGCTTGAATTGGACTACCCTCTTCCATCTTCCAATCATTATGGTAATATTATCGAAAAATAGCTTTTTTTTATAGTAGTGGTGTTTAAGAGGAAATCACTGATATAATTTTGATCATTTCTATATATGAGTATCTATGTATTCTCTCTCTTGCTATATGTACATAATATATATGGACATATTATATATATGTTTTTATATATGTACATATAAAACATATATATGTTTTTTATGAAATTGAATCTAGAATCATTGTGAATTAGCAATAAAGGTAGGAAAATTTATTTGTCTTTAATGATATTCTTTACCCCCAGAATTATTCTAGAAGAAATTATTTTGCTAATGCCATAAAGATTGGCATTTCCCCCCCAAATTAATTTATGAATTGAAAGTAATTTGAATAAAATGAAAAAATTTGTATCTGTGTATATGGATATATGAGAACCCGAAAACTGATGTTCAGATTTATATGCTTTGTGTATGTTAACTGTACTGTATAACAAAAAAATACAGGCTTTCATTTTAGGCAGCTTTACTGTAACAGAAAGAAGCAGAAAAGCATTGGCAGTGTTAAGGTGTAACACTATTTTCCCAGCAGATGTTTATCAGCCTTTTGGTCAGAGGCGTTACCGTCTTAGTTACTGCGGAGCCATGATGTGTAATATCACTGTGGTGCTGCATCTGGCCAGTGTGTTGGCCTATCATGACTGACAGCCTTAACTAATTTTTATCTTACACAGCTAATTAGATTTCATCATTACAGCCACAAATACAATATGGAACCCATGATGATTCAATTACCTCTTTCCGTTGATAATGTTAACTGTTTAGCTGGAGATGCAAGTTAAATCAACTCCTTAAAGGGTCCACCAAGACCTGCAGCAATCAACCCTTAAAGCGTGAATTTTATCATACAATGGGATTTGCCTATCATTACAGATACCTCATCATTTTTACCTGAAACATAAAGGTTTTATTTTTCATAAGAAAAGATGAAGCTGAAGAAAAAATTGTTTTAAAGCAGAAACTGTAAGTTAGGTGCTATGTGGAAAGCTTGAGATTTTGTTATCCTGTTAGGTCATCTCTCCTGGGCACTACATCATTTTCAATTACAGTCAAACTCAGCAGTAGTCAATTACATCTCATCAACTAGCTGTAGCAACTTGGAAGAAGTTAGTACACAACTTTACATTCTTAAGTAATTTTGATGAGTAATTTCTTGAACAGTGTGAACAACAGTGTTTATTGAAAAAAATCATTCATAGGCTAAATTGCAAGGGAATGCAAAATCTTCAATATTGAGGCAATATTTAGGTAAAATCTAGTTAGAGGAAATTTGATTTAGATAAATGGGAGTTACTGAAATGTGAAAATCAAGAGTGAGAGAGAATAATAATAATAATAATAATAATAATAATAATGAAGAAAGACAGTAAAAGAAGTTAAATGAGAGAAAGTTAATGAGTAAAGTCAAATGCGACATAGTGAAATTAGATAAAGCCCTGCCTTTGTGTAATGATGCAAGTGAAGGACTGCCCTCTGTAGCAATGTGCAGGTTTCTCTCTTTATTATGAAACCTAATGTCGCCACACCCTAACAGTGACAGTTGTCTATAAATCTGTAATGACAAAGAGAGCATGTGAGCTGACTAGCTTGTCATGCAGTCTCCAGTGAAATGAAAATATCCTTCTGGGTTACTGTGAGACACAAGGGATCAAAAGGGTGAACAAAACCACTGCTAATATGACATAGAAGATGCTTTATAACTTTGTAGCATGGTAAATCAGAAATAATAAATGTCCATTTCATAAAACCAAAGGAAAAAAGATTTTTTAATAAAATACTCTTTGTCAGTATTGGCATTAATATGTCAAAAAAGAAAAGTTATTCTAGGGAAGAATATATTGCAATAGGGATACAAAGGAAACAAGTCTAGACTGCAAGTACAATTAATGGAAAAATGTTTTATATAAGTTTATGTAGAATGTATATTTTTTAATATCCTAAGTAGATAAATATTTGGGAAGCATTGCTGTATTATTTACACAAGGAGATGTGATGATGTAGTCATAATAAAATGGCAACCTATAGTGAGAACTCTAATATTGACTATTTTAAACATCCTATCATTCTATACTCATATAAACCCATGTGAGTTTACTTCTGTTGCTAAGACTGTTTCACATTTGAGGAAACTGAAGTGTAGGGAAATTGTATGACTTGAAATAGCCAAAGAGCTCTTAAACAACAAAGCTAAACTTCAGGTTCCAAGTTCTTAATCTCTATATGTTATTTATTTACATGTGACCCATTATCTTACCTATCCATAAAATATTAATTTTGGTGACAAAGACATATTTTTTATCTTGATTTCCTAAGTATGATTTATATTTACATAGAATAATGAAGTAACTATGTATAAGTAATGTCTAAATTAACCTGAATGAAGTTTCCAGATTCTTTATATTTTCAACATTTAATAAATTTAAAATATAATTTGTATTGTAAAATAGAAAAGTTCCAGTATAGACATTCTTTTGCTTCATCAGGAAGCATCCTTACCATTGACAAAGTTTCAGAAAAATTCAGTATATGTAATATAGTGTGTTTCATCAGCTCTTACCAATATTGTACTTATCCTGTTTTTTGACTTTTACTGAACAGTGTTTATTTAGTTCTCTACTGTTAGTTAGGTGGGAAAAATATGTCACCATGAACAAAGGCATGATAGAACACCTTGTTCAATCATTATTTTATTTTTTTCTTACACACTTGAACCAAGTCACAGGAACCTCTAGGCACTTTTTTTTTACCTTCTCCTCCTTAAAGTAAGACCCAGCATTTCACTATATTTCTAAAACTAAAATCCAAATCTTCAAGACAGTTGAATAAGTGTATATTTTAGGTTTTTTTTTTTAAAGATGTCTAAGATGAATTTACACTTCATGATACTGAGCAAACTTGGATGTCTCACGAGATCTCTGCACTAGAACTGAGGGCTTTGCTGGAGCCAGCAGCTTCCTTCCTTTACTTTCAGTCCCAGCTCTCAAGTCAAACAGCCCCTCAAACCCCTCCTGTTGCCTTGGACCATTTACTTTTGTCCTTACTTTGTTCTCGCTGAAATCGCACTTGTCCAGCAGTTAGATGAACCCATCACCTGGAAATCAGCTGGATCGTTATTATTCATTACATCAATTCATCATGTGGGCTTCTCAGTCCTCAAGCTACAGAAGTAATCACTGTATACTCATAAAAACCATAGTATATGCATAAAAGCCTGAGAGGGGAGAAGAGATTCTGAATCTGAAAATAGAAAGATTTTTTTCCATATTGCTCCTCATTCAAGCATCGATTTACAAAATATTTTCTTAGTACCTATTTTGTACAAAGTAGTAAGTTGACAAATTAAAGACATAAACATAAGTTTTTAAATGGTCCATTTTTCAGTGAACTTAAACAAATAGGTATAAGGCATTTAGAATGAAATTAGATCAAGTAAGATCTTACTGGACCACTAAGCGGGACTAAGTCAATTCCAATTGATATCATTCAGGAGGTGATATTTAAATTGACCTTTGGAGAAAAAAAAATATTGATAGGTGATAAAAGAAGTACCTGGGGGATAAAAATAGTAAAGCTTGAAGGAATTACAAATAAAAAGGCATAGAGGTGGCAAGTAGCCTTCTGTGTACATGGAGCAGCAAGTAGTCCAATGTCTGAAATCCATGATGACTTGAGAGGTTAAATGAAATGTGTCTAAAAAAGATAACATGGTACAAGATCATAGAGGCCCTTGAAATATAAAATAAAGGTTTCAGAACTCATTATCTAAAGAATGGGAGCCATTGATTTTCATTTATCAGAGAAATGGCATGATACCCTCTTGTCTCACTTTTTCAAATGCACATCAACTGTTTTCTTTGTTTACAGCACCCTCCCACCAGAGTCCTTCCAACCTCGCCCCCACCACTAATTTTATTTAAGTTCATATGTTCATTTGATTCCCCTCTTAAGGAAGGTGTTTCACCTCTTCTGTTAAGCTTTGCAGGACTAATTGTTCTCAGAATGCCCAGGCTATGTTTTATGATTTTTGAATAATAATCATCTTTTTCTCTACCTTCACCACTTGACTTGATTTCAGGGGGAATTTATCATTGGTCTTTCTATCTTCAATATCTTTCTAGAATGTTGCTTTCTAGTTGCTTAAACAGTGTTAGTTGACTTACTGATCAGAGCTATGTCTTGGTAAGAAAAATTCATCCTCCGTGAAAAAGGCACAATAAATAGAAAACAGAATAAAATTAAGGTAATAGCTAGATGCTCACTGTCATGGGAGACTGTGTGAGGATGAAATAAAAAGGTGAAGAGGGAAGTGAAAAGAAGAGAAAGCTGATTAGATGGAGCAGAAATAGAAGAACTGTTTGAGGATAACTCCAAATAATTTGGAGAGAAGTTGTATGTTACACATGGTTTGATTTTGCCAAGGAAAGATAGGAGTTCTCTTTGATGGGTTGTATTTGATTCTTCTCTTGGAGCATCCGATTTTTTAAATATCTAGAAGGCTTAGTTATTGTCCTTAAAACAGAATGTGGGCTACTGTTCCTTTTATCTAAAAATCTAAAAATTATTCTTAAGCAAGGTTGAGCTATAATACTATGAGTCCATAACAGTGATAAGAATATCAACAGATGAATATGAATCTCATCCTGTTCCTTAGAAAGAAGCAATATCTAATATTTCCACTAATCTTATGATTGGAGTGTTCAAATATTCAAGTTCTTTTTAAATCTTACTTAGTTGATTCAAAATTAATTGTGTTTTTTTTCTCTCTCTTGCTTTTCTGCAGTATGCTGTTTGGCTAGTCCTCTGGGTTACCTGGAATGTGTTTGTTATCTGCTTCTATTTGGAGGCTGGGGATCTCTCAAAGGTAATTTACTCTCTGATTTGCCTGAGTCCTCAGTAGTGTGTTAATAAGCCTTTACCTAAGTAAGGCAGAGTCTCATCCTGTTCTTGTTACTTAAATGCACTTTGAAGGAAGGTAAATTGAAAGGTGTCCTGGTCTATATCTCTGCACTTCTATCATCAAAAAAATGCTTTGGTGCATCACAAAAATGTATTTTCATTTTTAAGCAAAACAAATGTGAAATATTGATTATTATAGTGACCTCACCATGAACTTCTAAAACATTGACTAATGAGAGATTTCTAAAGCAAAATAGAAAATGTTTAGAGATAAAATTTTGAAGTTTAAGTTACTTACTTTGCTTATTACTCTTCTAAAGATTTTCTTGATTGGGTCCAAATAGCAATGCAGTGATTTGAACAATTAATGGGTTTTGATTGGGTAAAATTGTTACCAAAGTTATATGTTATTATTTAAGTGAAGAAACAGTTTATTGTAAAATAACAGACTTATCATACTTCCTTTTTCATTAGGTTTCTCATATGAGAGTATGTGTGATTGTTTCTGAGCATGTGTTGCTGTTATATTTCCTCCACGAATGACTTTACTATTGAAATAATGTGGTCTTTAGATCTCTAAAACCAGCATTCTTTTTTTTAGCTTCACAGCAAATAAATGTTTCTTTTTTTATTGTTGTTCAAATACAGTTTTCTGCCTTTGCCCTCCCCCCCGCCCCAACCGTCTCCACCTCCCTCCCCTGTTTCCACCCCCCTTGTTATTGTCCATGTGTCCTCTATAATTGTTCTTGTAAACCCTTCACCCTTTTCCCCCCATCATCCCCTCCCCAAGCCCCTCAGGTCACTGTCAGCCTGTTCTCAATTTCAATGTCTTTGGAATGCAATTAACACCAGGTAAGTCAAATGAGATAATCCATTCAAAGAAGTAGTGCATCTTGCTTGAGACACTTGAGAAAGTTGCAGTCATGTCCTTCCTCATATTAACTTTAAAATATTGTAAAATGTTCTTTCACCTATCTTTTATTAGAGCAGGAAGACCCTGCAAAGATGTTGACATTTTTTTTAAAACCCAGCTGTAGCCTGCTGTAAAAAGGAGACAAAAGTGAGCTGTAAAGTCACTAGGAATTGTCTTTGCAGGGCTGTATACTTTAGGGGGCGGGTGATGGAACTAGTAGTAATACACATCGATAATCTAGCATTGAGGAGTGTTACAAAGCACTCTGAGCATTTTCAAGGATGCTTATCGAACCCAGAAGAGGCATTTCTGTGATTCTTGTAGTGCGTTGGCCTCCACACTCGGGACAGCAGGCAGTGCTTTCCCAAGGTGCTGTGACCAATGAAAATGAATTTTTCAGGTGCTCTAGGAAGGACAGAGACAGGACTGCTGCTGTGTCCATGCCAGAAAAGCAAAACACACTTTCCAAGGACTTGAATTCCTTACCCAATTTATAGATCCCCACTGCTCTATAATCTACTTTATTCAAAGGAATTCTATACTAGAATGACTTTTAATGATATTTTTAATTTTAAATAGTCACCTTAAAAATTGGAAGGCTTTTATTCAGGCATATTGGCTGAGTAAAATGATCTAGGAGATCAGTTTGTTTAATATAAAAGGAGAGAGAAGTAAAGAGAGAGAGATTTGAGCTAAGCAGCCTGCACAAATGTTCAGTAATTGTGTTCCTGGCTCCACGTGATAGCTGCAGGCACAAACAAAGCTTATGATCTCATGACCTTGGACATGGGCACTGAAACCACAGCGTGGGTACATCCTAAAACATTACAGTTTAAGACAGTTACAACCCAAATGACTAAAAATTCTTCTAACGCACACAGGCAGGTAATGACTATCCCTTGGCAAGGCAGCAGTTAATAATATTCCTCTTTCTTTTCGTCTCATAAACCAATACTAGGCTCTGCAGAGCACATGAAAATTTAATATTTTTAACAAATAATCTAAAAAAACCCATAAAGGGCAAAGTTATAATACTTATCTGTACCAGGTTTTTCCTTCCTTTTCTACTCAAAGGGTTTGAGAAAGGCATATTTATACCGTTTAATTCTTCAGGTTCTGCAACTGCATCACACTCTTCAAGTAACACGGTGACAGGAGGGCGCATTGGTGATTGAAAAGTGGACAGGTATATGAAAACTCAAAATTGGACTCCTGAAACTGCTGATAACACTTAGATTACAGAATATAATTTTTTTCTCAACACACTAAAAAATAACATGGTTTGACCATATGAATGGGTCAGTTTGTTTGAGGCTGAGGGACAAATAGAGGAAATTGAATCAGGTAGGAAAATCTATGGTCATATATATGTGAAAGAAATGTCTATTTTCATAAAGTATTTTGTGAACCATGATTCCTTCATAATGAATATTGGCAAGACTATGAAGGCAATCTTGATTTACCTGTTGCACAGGCATCCAACCTTTTGGCATCTCTGGAATACACTGAAAGGAGATGAGCTGTCTTGGGCCACACATTGAATACACAAACGCTAATGAAAACCAAAAAACTGCAATGTTTTAAGTAAATGTACGATTTTGTGTTGGGCTGCATTCATGGCCATCCTGGGCTGCATGTGGTCCACGGACTGTGGGTTGGACACCCCTCCTTAGAGTTTAGAATGTTGTGTGGTTGTTTTCCACAGTGTCTTTTCTGACTTTGCTTTGCTTTGCTTTTCCAAACTATTTACCTTGGACTAATGAGCAAAACAGAGATTGGAGTCATTAACCAACACACTGTGTACATTCAATAATGAAATAGCTTAATTATAGTAATATGATACACAGGAGTGACCTGCTTGATCTTCAGTTTTCTTTGTACCCATAGCTATGTAGTTAACATATTTTCTTCACTGAAAAATCTGTGTAAATCAAACATTATTAAAATATCAGTGACCATACTTTAATTATTATCCTCATAATATTTAAGGAAAAATAAAACTAACTCACCAGAGAAACTGCTTTAAATTTTTTTTCTCAGTTAAATTAATGGAAATGTAGTATAAAACAGTGATAGAACAGATGATAGCAACAAATAAACATATAATTATATGACAATTTTTCCATGTTGTTCACATTAATAGCTTAGATATTGGTGTTACAAGTAAATATCCTACTGCATCATATAATGTGTTACCTTTTTGGTTGCTCTTTTAATCGATCTCCTGTTAAGGAAACAGTTGACACTAGTTTGTAACTCAAAGTATCTGCTAACTTTGTAGGCAGTTGCCTCTGAGCATTCAATGTTTATTGAATTAATAGTTTTGAGAATTCCTCATGTAAATAGTTTTATTGTTCTGTTGTGTTGTTTTGGACACCCGTGATTGATTCTGTTGCTCACTTGTCAAATAGAAAGAAATGGGAACTAATTCCAGGTATCAACTGAACTGAGTTACTTTGCAGAAAGATCTGTTACTAGTTCTATAGTAAATTTTAGCTTCAAAGTGCATAGTAGTTAGAAGGAAAATACATGTGAGGTGGTATGGTAATTCACCTATTAGGCCCGTCACCTGGGACATGAAATTTATGAAATAATTTTTGAGTAGCAGTACACAGGAAAAATGCAGTGGTCTTTGGTATCTGTAAAAACATGTATTGTATTGGATCTGACAGAACTGGAAATTACTCTTATGCTGAAATTATATTTTAACACTATGTGATGATTTTGAGAACTCATATTCTACTTTTGTACTTTATGGGGCACCATTAGTGAATGGTGCACCTATCTTTAGAAAAGAAACAATAACTTTACAGACCATGAAGAAAAAACCAAGGGATTATTTACATTTAAAACAGCTAATTAGTTTTTAACCCCTTGAAACTAAGATGCAAGTATGTATTCTTCAGGCTTGATTATATTGTTGGAAATTTATCTAGTTAAACACAACCTAAGCAACTAATTATACCTATTGATTAGTTTGTTTTATAATAAGCGCATTTAACAGCTACTTCTACAAAACTGCCATTTTTGAATAATATGAATAATTATTTCTGTGGTCTAGATATAAATATTTATTTAAAAATTGATATATAACACAGTCATGTAAGAGTGTGGCTTATTTCAGTCATGGGGACTAAAATTTCTGTCTTGCAAATAGAAGTCAGGAGGAATATAAAACCTGTCCTTCACTGTAGTGACGGGGAAAACATCCTGAAAACCAGGTGTGAGTGCTGTGTGGGATGATGTCCTGTTGCAGCAGTCCCTGCTTGTTCACTCTATTTAAAAACATTACTCATTTAAAGGGGTATCTCAGTTTTGGATATTTTCTGCTCAATCAAATCAATATTGGTATAAAATTTTGTTTTTATGATTTCATATGAAAAAGCTAGTATGGAGAGAAACCTATTAATTTTTTAAAAAAATGGAATTAGTGCTGTACATTAAGATTGAAAAACTCTATGCAAATAAAGAATTCTTCTGATAATAGATTTAAGGCTAAATAAACAAATATTAGAGGACAATTTTTTGAATTCATATATTTATTTTTTTAACTGTAAAATGTATGTAATTGAAGAAAATTTAATTTGCTCTTACTAAACAAGGAAGCAAATTTTCATTTCCTAACAATCAGAGTAGGTTTTGTTTTAGGATATAGAATAAAACATTCTACATGTTATTAGGAATTAACCATGTAATTTTTTTTCAAAATAGAAATGAACCAACCTATTATAATTTACTTAAAGAGCCAATGCCCATCTTCTCTTGTTTTCTTTAATAGTGCATTGAATTAAACTAATTATTTTCTTCCTCAACTCTTTTTTCTTTGCTTACGTTTCCTACTTCCTTTTAATACCCCTGAAGTTAGTAATTTGGCCTTTGAAGCTTTCTGCTTCTCTTTTCTACATTATTTTACTTGAACATGCTATCCACTGTCATCATTTAAACTGTGACTTCTACCCATGTCTACCAGATTTCTATCTTCAGCCCTAACCTTGCTGCTAAGTTCAAGCCCAACATCTTCCTGCTGGTGTCATGTCCACTTTATTGTCACC